AGAACAGCATCAAAGAGTTGTTGTTTATCACTTCACACCCTTTATAAAAATTCAAAGGAAGAACTCCTGTGTGGTCACTAATCACAAAAGTTCTATTTGACATTAATCAGTGTTTTGTTTTTCACCTCACACAATGAAACCAGAATTTTCTTATGAGATTGACAATTTCCAGTTAGAGATATAATTCCTGTCTCTATTTTATCGTCACTGCACTGATTTCCTTCTTTCTTCTATACCAACATCTTATGCTGCTGGTTTATTTTGTGAGAATTGAGACACTTCCTTTGTGAAACAAAATAGGAATAGATAAACATGCCTCACTACAGAGTCATAAGTAATTATTAACTTTTGTACACATAAGGAAAATGACCCCTGAGGACATTTACATAAAATAACCACATATGATCCACATAGCTTATCACATATATAGTATATGTTTCAAGTCTTATTTTCTCCAGGCTACATAAGTATATGTATAAAGGTCATTAATTACCATATCAGATTCACCATGTGAGTTTTGTGACTTCATACAATTCATGTATCTGCTTTCTAATCCTTAACATGGAAATGATAATATCCCTTCCTTACAGGCTGACAAAACAGATTTAAAGTTCATGAATGGGCTGGAGGAGGAGTAGTCACTGATACTTGGCAGGCTGAGGTAGGGGATCACTACAGCCTATATGTTCAAGGAAAACCAGAGTAAAATTGTGAGGCTGTTTCTCAAAACAAAGGAATTAATTTATGTCAAGTTTTTAGAACAATTTCCAGGATCCATGCATAGGATACCATTACCAACCACTCCTCCCCTCTCCCTTTCTTTCTCTTTCTCTTCTCCTCACCTTTTACCTCTGATGTTCTATCCTCCAGACCTCCTAAAGGACCCACACTTACCCTAAGGTCTCCAGAAAGATATCCCTGAAGCTTGATGTCACTGGTTTTACCTGTTCCTCTTTTAGCCTACTACTCTGGTTTTCACTCCTGTTAATGCCATTCTCTGGTTCCCTATATGCAGCCAGAGACACTGAAACTTAGGTATATGTCTTCCATATTGAGAAATATGCATCTGTTTGAGTTGTGTAATTGCCTGAAATTCTCAGAACTATTTGAGTTCTTATTGCCTAAGCCCTGGGGCAATGTTTATTCTACCTGCAACTCTTCTGTGGAATGTAGTATGTATTCATGGGGCTGGACCACAATTAATATCCTATACAGTATGTTATCTCCTCCATCTTCTTTGCACTTGCCTTTCTCCCAGTCAGCAACCCCTCCCTGCTCTTCTGTTAACCCCTTCCCTACTAGTTCATTGACCACATACATGAATCCTTCTTGGGTCAGATGACAGATCACATGATCTGTTCCAGTGTTGGCAAGTGCTATCATATTGTATGAAAAATCACTTGGAGAGCATGTGTGAGACCAAGTTCAGAGGCAGTTCCCTGAAAGAGATGTCAGTTTGTTATCATTAGTAGTCCATAGCCAAATTAAAACCAAACCAAACAAACAAACAAAACTCAACTCATTAGAAAAGGAAATATGTGTCATCTCTGGTAGGGTTGAAATGAAGTTTGTGCTCCAGGATCCCAAGCTGTTCCCAAAAATTGGGAAGATGGGCACAGTGCATTAAAATTTCCTGATATGAAGTGTACTCTCTTACACTTGACACCAGATACCAGTCCTCTCATTCTAACCTTACTTCTTGCTCCACACACACTACACACATACTACACACATGCACTACACACACACACACACACACACACACACACACACCACATACATACTACACACACACACATGTACACATGGTCACAGACACACACCACTATCACTACTTGGAGCCTTGATGCCCCAACATGTATCAAATCTGTAAATCAGTGTTCTATAATTAATCTAAACATTTATGTTTATTCGGTAGAATTTGTGACTTCCTTATTACAAATCACTGTGACATTTACTTTAACCAGCAGAGATCTCGGTAAAAACGTTGCATTCTCAACCATTAGAGACTGGGTTTCTGGTTCTGCTGGCATCTGCCTTTCAAATCCTTGCGGTATGATTACCATGCTATGCACTTTCTTGTATTAGACTGCTATCCTGAGAGAAGAGGGTCTGAGGAAAGTCCCTGGCATGTGATCTCCCTATACTTTATTACCATCCCTCATCCATAATTGCCTCTGCCACACTGACATCTTCACCTCTTCCACCAGTGCTGCCTGGCACAGTCTCACCATCTGTTTGTGTGACAAAAACATTACGGGTTCTCACCATGCATCCCTAAATGGGCACGGGAAGAAATCAGAGATGGCAAGAGTGCCAGCTGGCACTGGTTGCACAAACCTAGACAGTGATGCATGTGCCCCAGGACAGGGAGGATGGCTGATGGCTAATTGTAGATCACCATCAGTGCAATGGGGCCCACCTCCCTGCTCACAGACACAACTCATCATGTATTCTTCCTGTTCCTGTAACAACATAATAGGCTTCCTGTTATTATGTGGTCACAAAAGAGTGTTCACTGGGAAAGAAGAATAGAAATTGCATTCTGAATTGTTCTATTTTTCCTCTTTCATCTCTAAAAGGGCAGTATTGAGAACATTCTGGGGCATCCGAGAATCGCTTGAGAAAAACAGGAATGGGTTTCTAGCTGTTCATAGGAAAAAGAGCTAAGACAAATTATTTCTTTGTGGTGGATGAGTCTACGTATAAGTTGCTGAAGTTCCTGCTTACACCCACCCACCAAGTCTCAAATATTTTATGTTCTTTGTGTCTTGCAAATAATTCATTCATTCATTCATTCATTCATTCATTCATGCAAATAATTGATTAATTAATTCATTGATTCATTCATTTCTCTCTGAATGCTACTACCAGGATTACATCAATCAGGCAGCTGTTCAAGATTTATACTATAGATTCAAATTTAGGTACATGATGTTACAGTGTTTTGTTAATGTTGCAATTAGTTGATTTTGATGTATTTCCTGTTAATACACTTTTGTACTTTGTTTCCATTCTGTGCCTTTGTATTGAGTCTGTATTGAGTCTTGTGTGTGTGTGTGTGTGTGTGGGTGTATGTGGTGTGTGTTTATTTCACTTTCAGTTTTCCCAAAAGTAATATTTTTTTAGTAGAGGAATTTAGATGCCACTTTTACGTTTATCTTTTTGAAATGCCTCCCATAGAACACATCTATTCTCCAAGTGGACATCTCCTAAGAGCTGATAAAGCTAAGAAATAGAGAAGTGTGCTTCTAGCAATGTTGAAAAAAAAATACCCAAAGATAAGCCCTGTGCATAGTTGGGATTTAGAAGGTAGCTGTAGGCAAGAGCTCCATCCAGCAGGGGATACTTTGGGTTGCATGTCTCTTACTCTTATAGGAAATATACTTATTCAAGATTCTTCCCTGTTGCTGCATTTCAGATCATGTTTGGCTTGGGGATGTTTTGTTTTTGTTTTTGCTTGTTTGTTTTTTGTTTTTGAGGGGAGTCTGTATAGGGAAGGGAGTATTGCTATTGTTTATCTTGAAATGGTAAGTGTAGGTATTCTACTTCTGGTTTTCACACTAATCAGCTGTGTGGCTCTAAGTTCACACTTAGTAGAATTCTTGATTAGCACGCAGAAAAAAAGCTCTGGGTTCTTGGATTCAGTACTCAGCACTGTATAAATTGAACATAACAGCATATGCCTGTAATCCCAGGACTCAATAAATACAGGAAAGAGAATTAGCAGTTCAGATCATCCTTGGCTTCATAGTACATTCAAGGCCAGCCCGGGTCACATGAGACTGTCTCAACGTAAGTTCAGTGTTCCCAACCCCTCGAAACATTATGACTTCCCATTCATTGCCTGACACATATTTGTGAACAAAAGCAGCTTTAAACTGAAGTTGTCTGAAGGCATCTAGCTATATTGTCTTCCCATAATGATTAACTTGATACCTTTAAACAAAAAGCCACCTTTACAATCATTTTTCTCACTTTAGTTTTCTCATTTTATCAGTGCACTGTCTGAGCATTGAGCATATGTTCACTTACATGCAGGTAATCCAGCCATAGTGAGGTCTGCTCTCCAGATGTCAGCCTTCTTATTGCTGGAACCAAAAGAAGTTACCCTCTCCTCTGACTTCAGCTTCCACAACCTCATAGCCTCAAAGCCTTGTTTTCCAATCACCCTTTTCATCACTATCTTATCTTGACATTTTATGTCTTCTAAATACAATGTGGAAACTAATGTTGAACTTCCATGCCCCATTAATCCCTCATGCTCCTTACAACTGTCTGCACCAGTGAACATCTGGGAAAGTCATGGGTGAAAAATGAACGTTGAGTTGTGTCTCATTATGTCTAAATCTTATAAGATTGTGTGTCTATGGTAAGGTTGGATCCTTGGCTTTCTAGTAGGAAGCATTTTGGAAAAAAATAAAATAAAAGCCATCCCTGATGTAGAATACCTGCCAATAATAAAGGGCATGGTTCTAGAAAAGCTTCTCAACCTTGCTAAGTTTTTGTCTTCTCTCTCTCTCTCTCTCTCTCTCTCTCTCTCTCTCTCTCTCTCTCTCTCTCTCCTCACTCAGTCAGTCATTTACTGACTGAGTAACATTTTGTGTGGTTAGTCTATCTTTAATAATTTATACAATTCTTCACAAAGCCACTGCTGTTTGACCTTTCACCTCTGACCTGAATGCACATTTACACCTTGGTTTCCACAGGTACTCTATGAGCACAGCAGTAGAAGCCAAATCTCTCTATAAGTTTTGCTGTGGTCTGCTCTTCAGATGGGATCTGCACACTATTTGCTGGAAGGTTTCTACAGCAGATGTTAGCAAGCAGACAAGCTAGCACACAACCCCAAAGCCCAGAGCATGCTGCGCCAGGCACTCACACACTTGCCAATACCAAGCCCAGAAGTGCTGCAGGGTGATGGAGGGAGTGTGCTCTGAGGGGCAAGCGCTGCTCCGAAGCCCTGCTAATGTCTCTGTGTGGCCATGCTGTATTTTCAGCTTGTCATCATGGCTGGGACAGTGCTGCTTGCCTACTACTTCGAATGCACTGACACTTTTCAGGTGCATATCCAAGGATTCTTCTGTCAGGATGGAGACTTAATGAAGCCTTACCCTGGAACGGAAGAAGAAAGCTTCATCACCCCTCTGGTGCTCTATTGCGTTCTGGCTGCCACTCCAACCGCTATTGTAAGTACAGAAACAGAGTTCTTTATTGTCAGACACCTGAAAGTATTTCCTGTTTGCCTTTTTCTCCTCCTTGCTGCCTTCCTGGGTTCTCACAAGCAAGATGCCTTATCGACACTATCCTATTTCAGCTGGAGACAGACTGAATGGAAGTCTGCATAAAAATAAACAAAAATTAAAATTGATCCTGCCTTTTATAGATAGAAGGATTAGTTTTGCTTTTTAGTGTCTGAGGTTTTGAAGCTCTGCTTTTTAAAGCATGAGTGAATGTCAGAAATCAACAGACATGATTGGCTGACCTGTTAAGAATAGCTACTGTGCTCTCGGAAGAAGTATGCTGCGAGGTGTGTGCATTCAGGAACCCGACTGTTAGTGGTGATGGCATTGCCATAGAGACTCAGATCAGAGGAAAGCAGAACCCTCCAGCTGCTACCTCCTGCTGCCACAGTTGAACTGTAGAGGCCAGATATGAGCAAAATTACTTGACCCAAAATGTGATGTCTTTGCCCTTGTCCAAGTCACGTCACAATAAGCTCAGTTACAACTGTCCTTTATTTATTTCATTGTCTCTCTCTTGGGGTCAAAAAATGAACAGACAGCCCAGTAGGGAGACTACTTCAAGGGCATAAAGCTTGCAGATCCATGTTAGGCAGCCAAGTGATTTAACACTCAGACATTATCATTTTATGATAGTGTTAAAATAAACACTTCTGTGTCTGAACACATTGCTGTTAGCAGGGCAGATTAATCTGGGTGTAATTTCAGTTCCCGCTCTGCCCTTCTTTTCTAATAGCTTTCTAATAATCCTCCACTCTTTCATTTTACCTCTAACATGCCCTCTGCTCTCTTTCAGTTAGGGCCTTCATAAAAACACTGCCTGATTTGCTGAAGAATGTGATGATTGCTCAGACATTCAGCCCAAAAGCTATTCTCTGTGGCAATGCTTCTCTTGTCTTTTGATGAAACGTGACTGTAATTTTGAGGCTATAGACATAAGTCATCACACTTTAAGTTTATTCAAATCATTTGATCCAGCATCAGTAGAGCTCCTCTTAACTACTAAGACTTCAGGGGAAATGAGAGCAATATTGATGAGATGCAACATGATGTATCTGGGTGGTTAAAAACATTAGGTCTATAGAACAGCATATCTTGTTCGCACCCTGGCTAGGCAACTCATCTTACTGATTCCTTCCAGAGAAGACCAGACTGTCATTGAGTTTAGAACTCCTAAAGTTCCAGGAGTAAAGGACCTGGAAGGGAATTATTCTCTGCCTGCTTTGGCATGGCAGGACAAAGGTCCTCATCTGAGAATTATGACATTCCATTGAGAATCCCTGTATGGCCTCTTCTAAAGGGATGGGAACCAGATATAATGTCTATGTCTCCTTCCCAAATTCCTTACTTATTATCCCTGGGAAGAAAAGAAAGCATAGAAAGAAAATATTCCTGTGTCTCACAAGGCAGAAGACTCTAATAAAACAAAGAAGCAGGTTAAGATCTGTCTAGAATGGATGGTGGAGGCTCTACCAAAAGGCAGTGCTTTAGTTTGGAATTGGATTGTGTCATAAGCATATCATTGTCTTATGTGTTCAGACATGAATTGACAAATGACGCATTGCATTACTAATATATTTTCTTCCTTCCTTCCTAGTCTCATTATCTATATCTTCCTATAATTATTTTGTATTTATAGATATTTTGCTCATTAAAAAGCCCTAAGACCAGTAGAAACATTAATAAAGATGAATGGAAATTAGAATCAGAAAAACAGTATAATTTCTGAGTAAAATCAAAAGCAAATTCTTCAAAATGTTAAGAGTACATGAAAGTGGAAGAGACAATATGGGAAACTATTGGGGGTGAGAACATGGCTCAGGGTAAGGAGCGCAACAAAGAATTAATGAGACCAAGGGATAACAACATTCTGTATGAAAATTTCACCATAAAAATTATTTTGTGTAACTAAAAAAAGAAAGCATTTTATAATCAATGTGTGCTCTGCTGGTGTTGCCTAGGTGATCCTCACAAGCAGCCCAGCGAGATGGATCAGAAGTATTCCAAAGAACATAGAAAACCATGATCTAGAGTCCCCTTCATCTTTCAGTTGAGAACACTGAGATACACTTTGGCTAAATGATGCCCTGAAGGTTACATTTTTCTGTAAACATATGGACAGGGATCTGCCCATTGGGTTCCATTTTTGTCTTCCTTCTCCTATTGAGAGCATGGTTGGGGATTGATGGGTTAGTGGCAGAGAGCAGCACAATACTTGACCCTGCTGGTCAGCAGTGTTATTACTTCAAGACTCCAACTCTGTGAGCAGCGCTAGGCCAGACATCCTCTGAGCTCTGGGAAGGAGCTGTGTTCACTTCTGCCTACTGAGTTACCATTTGCTCATGTGTGGGGTCTCAGGGTCTCTGAGTCCTAGTGCCTCCTTCAGCACACACATCTACTCAGAGCTCCCAGCATTCACTGTCTTCCCTATGCAGGCGTCTCCCTCAGACTGGGGCCTCTATAACTTGGTGACTTCTGGCTGCTTGTATTCCTGTGGGATGTTTTCTCATCTCTACATGTTAAAAAGGGGATCAGGATCAATGATTTCCAAGACCCTTCTAGTTCCTAGATTTCACGAGAACACAAAAAGGCCATTTTGATAGAAGTTTCTACCTGTGAGATTCTCAGCAAGTCAAAGCTTCCTCTCTGGACTCACTTTTGTATGCGTGAGTCATGTGCCACATGACTGTCCAGTTTATCTGTTTCTCCTTAAATGAATTCCCTATGCTCCCTGGAGTATAATGAAGGCAGGACCACCTTTCAGTGATGTGCATAGCAACTAACCGTATGTTTAAAAAAAATAGCTCTACCTGGATTATCCTTGGCTTTTTGTGCATCTTCAAGCACAACAGCAGTGGCTGAACTGAGAGCCACACTCCTTTGTTTCCGCAGATGGACACTAACGAGCCCATCCACAGCTGCAGAGATGCACAGGGGAGGAATGAGGGGAAGACTGGGCCATTTGACCTGTAAACTCCCTGTTTTCCCTCTTATGCTTTCCTGTCAGAAAATATCAACCTCATATTGAGACAAGGCCACTTGGGATGAAATGCACAGGGCCAAAGCCACTGCTGTCACATATCTTTAGGAGAAGTTGAAGCTTGGAGAATTTATTGTGTCCAGAACTGTTTAGCCCACAGTGGTAACCCACACTTCAAAGAAACCTGCAGGGTGTGTTCTGACTACCTGGACAGCTTGAATAACTAACTGCTCCCTTGGGCATTCTGAATAAACTCAGACTCAGAGGCAAAAGAGAGAGCCAGGGAGCCTGCTTAGATAAGAGGATTTACTGGGCAAAGAATCTGATTTACCCTTATTTTATCTCAGTCCCAGTGGCACAAGGCATGAGAAGATAGCTATTAAACCTTTCTCTTGGCCTCACAATGAAGTGACTGGGGAGTATTTAGCATTGAAGCAGCAGAACATTTGACTCCCTGCCCAAGAGAATTGAAATGACTCACAGCTTGTATGCAAGTGTGTGAGCACCTGTGCACACACACGCACGAGCACACCACACACACACACACACACACACACACACACACACACACACACACACACACAAACAGGTGACTCAGGAACAATTTCCTCAGAAAGGAAAAGCCAAACACAACTTGATACAAACTTAGCCAGACTTGCAAATCTCCATTTTTGTATTTGTGCAAGCGCTCTGCATCAAACGTAAAAGAACACTGCAGATCACAGAGTGGTCTCTTGGTGCTGAGTCTGTTGGCTGACTGACCAAGGCTGCAGCTGCTCCTGTAAAGGGGGCATTGTGAACCTTGCACTCCCACAAAATCCACCTCTTCCGGGCTCTGAACAGTCTCCTTCACTGAAAGTCTGACATTTCCTAAATTACATCCTTCCCCTCTGAGCCTCATCATGTGACTTCTTTAGACAGAAAATCCTTTTGCCACTGTTGGTATTATACTGTCTTTACAATTTACACTTTCTTCTTGGGTGAACATTTAGGTGACCCAATTGAAAAACACTAAAAATCAATTTTCACAGTTTTTAATTCATACTACAGATTAAAGATCCAGATTTCTCTTAGTGGTATTTGTTGAATTATTTCCAGCTATTCCTAGCTTAAAGGTATATTGTTGTTGTTTGTGGGTGTTTTTATTTTGTTTTGGTTTTTTGTTGTTGTTTTGGATTGTTTTTTGAGACAGTGTTTATTTTTGTAACAGCCCTGACTGTCCTGGAGCTAGTGCCGAAGACCAGGCTGGCCTAGAACTCACAGAGATCTGCGTGGCTTTGACTCCCAAGTGCTGGGATTAAAGCTGTGCACCACCACTGCCAGAATTTTTTTAAAGAATATTGTTTAACTAAAAAATTATGTGCTGCTTAAATTACTTGGAGATTACAACTAGTTCAGTTTTTTATTGAGGACAGGATTTCAGTAAAATTATTTTAGGTTTCCATTTTCCTTGTCCAGCAAAACAAAAGATGTCAGTGAACTCTGTGTTTTTAGGAATATATAGTCCCACCTTTCTATAATGCCATGCATAGTCTCAAGAAAGACAGCTTTCTGAGTGGGTGGAGGTGGTTTCTGGGTTGAGATCAAAAGGCAGTCTCTAGTATTATCACAGACAAGGGATAGTTTTCAAAACGCTATCATACAGACAGCCTTTCCCATTTATGCTGTTAAAGGCTTTCAGTATATCCAGTGGTAATGTCTCTTATTTATATCTATGTATGATAAAGCCAAAGTCATTAATTCTTGGGATAACTACAGTTCTGCAAGTAAAGGAAACAGACTCTTTCAGATCAAGCGTTCTACAGTATCACTCATCATGAAAGATAAAAACCCAGAGTAAAGGAGACTGTCATAGTGCAGGCACAGAATCTATATTTTTTTCTCATTTCCTGACTCACTTTTTAAATGTACAAAAAGAAAAAAAAAATAAATGCTCATGACTGTGGAAGTCTCCCAGGCAGAATGT